TCATACCACAATTAATTACTACTTTATATCTCACATCAATTTTGCTACTCATTTTTTTCTGTCAGCCAAGATGCAACATGGACTCTAATGTACATATTAGTACATTATGAAGAACAAAAATCTTCATATCCATGCTTTATTTATATATAAATTTCTCGTGTAAGACCGCCTAACTGTTAGAAATCAGATTGATTTATCATAATATTTAAATAGAGATGTAAATGTCATACTTTTATTTACGTTTTACAAAAAAAAAAAAAAAAATACTTCTATATACATTTATCAATAGAACAAACTCTGTACCATTTATTCTTAAATTTATCCAACTACTCAACTCCAAATGTGGATTTTCGTCACTCTAATTGAAAAAATAAAATTATAAACGTTATATTATTCATTACATTCGATCCAATCAATATAGTGATTCATATGAAGTTAAAAAAATCAATACTGTTTGTTTTTACTAATATCCAAAATTTTTAAAATATAATACCATTATATAGCTTATATTTTCAACCATGCATACGATATAACATATATAGCATATAGTACTTTATTTATATTTGTGGATTTGCAGAATATCAAATACTATTTATTTATTTCAAAATTTCCAAAGAAAAGTTTTACCACCATCACCACCACCTATCTCCCTTATAGCATGAAGGAGCTCCTAATGCTTTCAAAGAAGTTCCCCTAAGCTTACTCACTTAGACTCATCCCTCCCTATATATTAATTCAAAACGTGTTGAGCCTAGGTGGCAAATTCTCACACTTCGGATGTTGACATGGCGAAAATCTATGCTTCGTGATGTTGTTTTTATATTATTTTTGCTCTGGAGTTAGGTTTGATATTAGACATAAATAACTTCACACATATATTCATTAACTCAACACTCGTGTTGTTGTATATGTGTATTATTACTAGTAAATCTTGATTATCCAAATGTAGAGCTTAGATGAAGATGGCTTCTTAAAAAATAGCATCTTTTCATCAGCCAATGTATATATTAATGTAGAAATTTTTAAGTTCATCATAGAAATTGCCAATCAGATACTCAAGTGTCAAGTGTCTAAATAGCCTATTTTTCCTCAAGGAAATGCAGGAAACTGCTGATCAAAACAAACTTGTTCGTCGTCGTTTTTCTGCTTTTCACGACAGAATAATATATGTCCGTGCTCGATTCATCGCTTTTTGTTCTGAAATAATATTGTCTCAAGAAAGTAGAAAGCTTCTCTTGAGGTCACGAGACATCGATCAAACGAGAAAATGCAATAATTTGGCAGCTTTCGGATTTGAAATCTTTTTGTTAGCAAATACCGGTTAATAAGTATTAACTTATCATATGCAAATGATTCTGTTGTTGCTATTGTTTTGTTTTTCAACACTGAGGAAATTTTCTGCAATATTTCAATAAGTTTGAAGAACTAAATGGAGAAAAAATGCACGATTTTTGAGATTCATCGCATGTATTGCGTGTCGGTTAATTGTTTCCTCTGTAAGGAAAACAGAGAAAAACATGTCGAAAGTAGAAGATCCGAAAATGGTCTTATCGAGCAAGTGGTTCTAAAGTTGCATTATACGCACAAATTTAACGCTTCGTCTTTTTTCTGAATTAGAAAGTTGTTAATTTACAACGATAAAGACACAACAATCCTTATCCCAACGGATATTTTCCAAAACAACAAGATCTCATTCCTACAAGTTTTGGAGAGTGGAGTTTCAATTTAAGGATTAACAAGTCAATACTGGTTTTGTGTTACTTAGAAGTGAGTTCGTATGGCGAAGGACTGCATATTTTTCAAAAGTTTCGGTCGATTTGAGATGAAAACGCTAAACTGCGTAGCTTTAGCTCTCGGCTTCATCTTGAGCCTAAGCCTCTTTAACATCTTCAAGCAGCCTGTCAGTAAGTTATCGATTTTTTCGTACAAAATATACATAATAGCAACCATATTCGACACAGGGTAGAGTAAAGAATTCATCGATTTATGGCATCAAATAACTTTGTATCATATGATTTGTCTAACTTTTACAGTGGATTTGGAGGCATCATTGTCTTTGGGGCTTAAAGTCTTGATTGGCTCTGATACTAAGCAGCAGCAAAAATGTAAGTGTCTATAAATTTTTGATCTTGAACTTACACACAATTTGTAACAAAAGTTAAGATATGAGCTCAGTTCTTGATTTTAATTTACTATGTTAATAGCCCTTACCGAACTCGAACTCGATATCGAGCTTCCTCAATCGATTTTCAACCTAAGCAACTCGATATCTGACGTGCTCGAGATGAACGGCGACATAAGAGTCCATGGCAAATCGTTCACCGTCTTCGTAGCCTCGGCCTCAGAAAATGATCCGACCCATTCGTGGACCCTAAAACCATACGCCCGTAAACACGACACTTTCCTAATGGGCTACATCCGGGAGTGGACCGTCGTACACGGGCCCGCCTCGAAACTCCCGGGCTGCGGGGCCCGATGCCCGTTTCCCGGGGTCGTGTTCTCGACCCGAGGCTACGCCATGAACCCTTACCACGACTTCTCGGACCTTCTCGTCCCACTCTACCTCACCACCCGACCCTACAACGGCTCGATCGTGCTCCTTGTAAACGATCTCCTCGAACCGTGGGTCGCCAAATACGAGCTCATGCTTAAGAAACTCTCGAGCCACAAAGTCGTGAACATTGATGACGAGAGTCGAGTCGTGTGCTTCCCGAGGGTGACCCTCGGGCTCCGGGCCCACAAAGAGCTGGGGATCGACCCGTGGAAGCCCCCACATTACTCGATGGCGGACTTCCGGGGATTTGTTCGGGCCACGTGGGCCCTTCGGGCCCGCTCGGGAAGAAGCCCGCGGGCCCGAATGTTGATGATCTCGAGGAAGAGAAGTCGGAGGATGACAAACGAGCTAGCCGTGGCCCGGGTCGCAAGGCGGGTCGGGTTTGAGGTGGACGTGAGGGAAATCGACTCAGGTGACGTCGCGGAGTCGGCCAAACTAGTGAACTCGTTCGACGTGATGGTCGGAGTGCACGGGGCCGGGATGACGAACATGGTTTTTCTACCAGAGGGAGGGGTGGTAGTGGAGGTGGTGCCGTTCGGGCTTGACGGGTTGGCCCGACAGTATTATCGGGCTGAAGCGGAGGCCATGGGCTTGGGGTACTTGGAGTATAGAGTGGGGTTGAATGAGAGTTCTTTGAAAGGGAAGTACCCTGCGGATAGTGAGGTGTACAGGGAACCCGGAAAGATTCAAAAGAAGGGGTTTTTGGGCTTTCGGGCCGTGTATATGGATGATCAAGATGTGGAGGTTGATTGTGGGAGGTTTAAGGAGACTCTTGTGGAAGCTATGAGGATGGTTTCTAAAAGGGATGTGTAGTTTTTTTTTTCTCTCTTAATTTTATTTCTGATTTTATTTCGAATGTCGTATTTTCTAAAATTTTATAAATAAAAATAAAAAATAAAAATAAAAAAACAATGTAGTAAACATTTAGAAGCGCCAAAAAATGTACTCCCTCCTATTCATAATAAGTGTCGTTTTGGGAAGTTGCACTTATTAAGAATATTTTTTGGTCAATAATAACCCTCATTAATGAGGATAGAGATGAATATTTTGAGAAAAGATAAAGAGTAAATATGAAAAGATATAGTGTATTTATTAACTAGATGAGGGTAATAATGGAAAAATATGTACAAAGTATCCAAAACGACATTTATTTTGTTAATAGTTGATAATGCTAAAATGACATTTAAAAAGAATAGGAGGTAGTAGTAAACATCTGCTAGTAGTTAACTTTCATTCTTCACAAATTTCTAATGGCAGCCATAATACACCATGGCAAAAACTTGGGTAACACAAATTCTTTTGCACGAAAAATCGAACTAATATTCAGATCTCCCCTCACTTTGGAACCACATCTATAAGCATATATACATGTAAAGCAAAAGTAAACTCCTCGACACAACAGCACACATAAATACACTTTACCTTGCTCAGTGTTCGCGTTTAGTTGCGTCAAAGTTAACGATCACTATTATGGTTTAGGAGAAAACTATGTTACTTCATTATGTTTGTTCCGATTTTCTAGCCATAAAACAAAAGAAATAAAAAACGAAAGCTTTCATATGTTGGGTAAGGGCAGGTCAGGCTATGTACAGTGCCTATACGTCATACACAGGTAACCGCTCTTCAATAGACAGCCGACAAATCGGACACTTCTTACATTTATCTGAGCAGGAGCTGCATCATCATTAATCAAAGGTTAATCATTATGTAATGATTAGAAAACCTATTCGAATTGTTTGAATATCATGATTAGTTACTTGATAAGTAGCTAAAAAGCTAAAGGGAACTTGGTCACTGTACCTGCAAAGGATACGATGCCTGCAAGGAAGAAGTACAATCCCAATCTCCCCCTCGAAACAGACTCTACACAGAATTTTCTCCTGGGCCGAATAGTGACGAGTCATTCGGTTTGCTTGAAAATAGTGATAATGCAATAAAGATACAAA